TTTTTTTTTTTTTTAAGGACCTTGGCTATTAATCTATTATTACTAGATATGTATGCCAGCACGGGCCCAACATCGAAATATGTATTTTTCATAGTTTGAGTTTGCCTCAAACAATGCAATTAAAGAATAAAAATCCAAGCAAATAGTATTCATGTGTTAGGCGACTATAATTCGGATAAAATGTGTATTTTTTTAGTGAACTGGCTAAATGAGATGCCATCCCTTTAAAACAAAAAAGATAGAAAATAACACACAAGAAGAATTTATATGGACAAAACCACGCTCTTCAGACCTCTAGATTACTGAGATGACTATGGTGCTAAAGAGGTCTAACTGTTCCAATGGTACATATATAACTTAATAATAATAGCATCTTGAAATTTAAAAAACGTATCACACCATCTTATACAGTAGAGAAACAAAAGAATGTCATATTTATGTAGAGACAAAAATGTGGATAGCCATGTTATCTCAGTTTCCACAAATGAAACCTTTCGCAAACTAAATCATTCAACTAATGAAAAACATCACAATGGTCTCTCATGTCACCCTGAATTTTCTTCACACAGGCAACCCAAGTTTTTTCTTAACTCAATTGAGCCACCAACCATTGAAGCAAATTAATAAGCATAACCTATAAATAAACCAAGAATAACGTTACGGTAGATGAAAAGCAATTTTATGATACAATACACATTTTTTTGGATGAAGCAATATATTTATCATGACTAACCTTTGAAAGGAAGACCCAAAAGACAAAAAAAGAAAAAGAAAAAAAGGAACATATATTAGTCATAATTATGAACATAAGTGTGATAAAGCTAATGAATATGCATATAGCACTGGATGAGACAATAGAAAATTGATCTTGAAGCTTATGAGCAGGCACCATTTACCAAAATCCACTTAGAATCAGAATCAAGCACTCAAAAAATCCATACTTTCCCAAGAAATAAAAAATCTAAAATTTCTTCTACCCATGGCCTTACAACTAAAACTTTTAGATTCTATTCAGAGAGCTTAGTTTGTCATTTGATATGTAGCTTACGTCTTAAGTCAAAAGTTATCATACCGACAAATCAAGTAGTGTCATGAGCATCTTTATACATAATATATAACACAAAAAACGTAAAATAAAAATTAATAAATTAGTCAAAAGTTCTTATTAATGTTCAACACTCTCAGTGAGACTGAGCCCTCGCTCGGACCATCAAGAAGTTTCTGAATTCTATCATCCCATTTTTGTTTATGGCTTTTGTTTTTGCACTTGAACTATAGAAGACCCTGAGCAGTCTTTATCCTAAGGTACAAATCTAGGCCTCCAACTCTTTCATGAACAGTCAGAAATCACTTTCATCACATACTTTATAACCAACTCTGGTTTTAACTACCATGAAATTGTAAGGAAAGAGCTTACCTTTATTATTTTTAGAAAAAGCTCAACTGACATGTTTACTCTTCAACTTGGTCACAATCTATTGATTCCACAAATGTTGGTGTTTTCATCTATGTGTATGAGCAAATGCAATTCAATTACAAAGAGTAATGATATGAAAATCTTGAAATTCTATTGAGAGAACTGAGATATTTTGTTCATATAGTCAGACACGCGTTTTCATCATTTCTCACCTAAGAATTCAGAATAACAAAATTTATTAAGAATAGTTCTTGCATATAAATCAATATTAACCTTCTCTTGTTAGTTGCAACAATTCATCCATGCCCATAGGAAAAGCAACAGAGTTCCACCATACTTTTGCTACATAACTTATAGATTCATTCCTCCTTGCTTCTCCCATAATCTTGTAACCAAAGCTTTGAGAGAAGAGTAGTTTTTGCTCTCGAAGCTTTTCAGTCATGGAAAAAAGGCTATTATTAATAAACATGGGTATCAATAGCTCATATTCACTTGAAAATAGCAACTGACTAAATATGCAGTTGTCGTAGTTGCAGCTATTAGTTCGATAAGATCACTGGCACTATTTATGTTGCAGATAAAATTACTTTTCCTAATTAAGAAATCTGTCGCAGCATGGGAATCAATCCACCAGACTATTCCAAACTAATTTAACTTATAAATACACATATTAATAAGTTCTCTTATTTTATTTAGCTTGTCAAGATACAACGTCAAAATAGACGTTTAGGCAAAAAATAAAACTACACATCCTTAATATATCATGTATTAGGCGGAATTCCATTCAGATGTAGGCCATAAAGATGCAAAAGAAGGGAAGAAAAGGGGATGAATAGTCCTAACTTTTCCTTGTATGGTTAGATTTTGATAAGTATGTAATAGAAATAACTCTCACAATCAATACACCAGATTCAGAAAATACATTTAGAATTACTGAGTTCGCAACAACATCGAGAGATACCATTCAAGCACTTCCACAAATAAGGCTGCAACTTTTTCAAGTGACCCCGTTATGCACATCCTTCTGTTAATATATGCAATGTAATTAAAAGATTGAGTTTGTATGTGTTAAAAAGTGAATCGGAACAAGTACTTGGAAGAAGTCTCTTACTCTTCCTCTTCAGTTGTACCCTGTAAGAAATCTGTTGTAGCACATATTACCTTTTGTAAAATAAAGTCTCTTGAAATATACAATACATTTAACTTTAGTATACTTTTAGTATCAGTTTCCTTTTCAATTTCTAGTTGTGTGTTGGTCACTCTGGTAGTTTCGGGTTCTAACGGTTACACTATGATTATTTGCATTTCTTGAATCACCCAGATCTTCCAATTTTTTATTTTTCATGCTTTTTACTCCCAAATTGACCCACAAAGGAGAAATATAATGCATAAACAACTTTTAGATGAGTAGATGGTGATACATTGAAAGTGAAAACACACTCTTAAAATAACCAGAAAATGTGGAATGAAATCTTAGCAACTTACCTTTTATCATCTGCTACCTTTTTAGTGATTCTACAACTTTTCATTCATCCTCTGCAAGTATCTCTTTAGTAAAAAATTCTTTTGATTTCGCACCTCCGATATGGGTATGAGATTTGAAAGCAAAGTAACATTTGGGTCCTTGAAACTGAACATTAAAAACCTGAAACCATAGAAATAGGAAATAAAATATTAAAATCATGAAACCAAATAGAGTTCTATACTCATGATGTTTTATCAATTTTCCTTCTATATCTGTCAAAAAATCGATGCTTTTTAAGCTTTTATTATTTGGTTCGTCAATGAAGTTTTAAACAACACAATCATGTCATGCGTGCTTGTAAGCTCATAACCTTCTACACAGTCTCTTCATATTCTTTTTGCCGGTAATAGCTAATATGTGTTAGTACATCAAAGGTGCAAGCTGATGGGAATGCTTTCTCCTCCATTTTTTCGGTTAAACTATATAGATTCAAGAACTAATCACAAATTTATCACCTTTGTGATCTTAAAAATCTCATACTCTGCATTGATTACACATAGAAAACTAATTAAGCACATTATGCAACTCCTGAAAATATTTTCGCAGTTGAAATAATAAAATAAAAGGAAGTAAAAGCAAGAAGCTGCCATTTCTGATCATACTTCAAACCTCATTCAAGAGGAGGTTTGGAAGAAAAATCAAAAGAGAAACAACGAAAAAATACGAAACTTGGTGAGGGAAAGAACATGACTATAAGAGCGTTTGCTTTGATCGACACATATATTAAGCAAGCAGTAGCGCACAACTTTATCTCAAATTGCGAAACACAAAGTTGTATTCGAAATCTGATTGCTTCTTAATTCGTTAAACCACCTATGTCAAGAGCACAATCCCTCATCAATTCCAGCAGATTGAGTCGAATTTTGAGCTTCTATATCATTTCCTTAATAAGAAACAGTAGTCCAAAATACTTGAAAAATTCCCTTCGCATGAGTCTAAGCATAAGTAGTGGAAAAAATTGACAAAATTAAACTTACAAGTAAACAAAGAAAAATTGGCCGATACCTCGTCTATCACCTCTGGTTTCAACTATGACTAACCGCTGAGATTCTGTTGTGCCAAAGCAAAAATTAGAAGAAGATAGGACCAAGCAAATCAAAGACAACGGTAAATCCCTAAAAGAGGATACAAAGGATAAGGAAAGGTTAGAGAGAAAGGTCAATACTTATGGAGTAATGGTATAAGATTACTGCTAGAACTCGCTAGCAATGGTAGATCTGTAAATGATTGAATAAAGTAATGGTGAAACTTGAAAGAGAGCTAGTTAGAGGACTGAGCCGTAGAGAATTCTAGATGAATAATATACACATATGTTACCAAAGCAATAAAATTTAAACTTATATCAGTTATGAAATTACTAAAATACCTTTGGTCGACCATTATGGCTCTTCTATATAATCTATTACTAAGATGGGACATAGACAAGAAAGTATACCTAATCTCTCTATTCGAATTCCTATTTGTTGTAGGAGTACATTTTGCATTTATTGATTATTTTATGGCAATTTTATCTATCACTTTGTTGTGAAAAATGAGATTGTATCGTTTTGCCATAAGTACTTCCATATTAACATATTTTGCTGAATAAGATTTGATAATGAGTTTGAGTTAGATATTTACTCTAATATTTGGAATATGAGATAGATTAAGAAATTGTATACGGTCAAAATCGTTTTTGACCTTTGTATGATTAGTCAAGATTGAAGCATAATGGATCTAAGGTCATCTTTATAATATCAAGATGGGATCTGAATCCAGGTTACCAAGCTTGAAGTTCTGGGACCTATCAAGTACCGAGCTCGAAGTCATTACCGAGCTCGAATCCAAAATAAACCATGAGGTGAAGCGGTGTCATCGAGCTCAAGAACCAGAGACCGACCAATATCAAGCTCGATTCGATACCGAGCCTCGAGTTAATATCGAGCTCTAAATCTGAAAATCAACCAATACCAAATCCGACCAAGATCGAGCCAAGAGACAAGAGCTGTTACGGTCGCACTAAGGAGAGAGAATTTCGGTGGGAATTAGGGAAAAACTATTCTATCATGATTTCTCCACTATGTATTTTTAAATATATCCAAAGTAAAATCCCTCCACTATAAGAGGGATGGCTATTATTTCTGTAAGGCATTGAACATTGAAGGCATTCCTACATTTTTATATTATTCACAGAGAAAACATACTAATATTGAGATAGAAATTATCCCCTTTTTGGGCTTAGTACATTGATTCATCTTACTTGCTCATAAAACATCTTTCACTCAGTTTGGTTTGTATTTCATCCCTTATACAGTCAATACTCAATATATTTCTACTTACTTTTCTGATTTGTGCCAAATTATACCACGTACCCTTAGAACTACGTACAAATTCAACTCTATCCGTTTTTCGGGTAAACAGTTTGGCGCCCACAGTGGGGCTAAGGATAACAGTGGTTGTTTGGTATGAATCTCTACAAAACACACCATTTTACACTTGCTCTTGGAAGTATCTTTGATTTCAGGATTAAAACAAATTCTCAATTAATGGCCCTGCCTATCGACAACGAAGCTGGCCTTCAAGATAAGAACAACAACTTAACCCCCGGGGGTGGAAGGCCACTCGTCGATCTCGTTGGAGCTCGGATCGAAGAGCCAATAGATGTCAATTCACATGCGGACATCGAGGCGAACCAACGTTCCAACCCTGAAAACAACATTCATGGTGGAACTCGGTCTGCAGCTCGAAATACTCAAAATGCTGAGGAAAACGGAATCAAATTGTGTATGATTTTCGAGATGCTGCAAGTTCAACAAGTAGCAATAGCCCAGTTGCAGAGCCAAACTTAGGCACCGACTATACTCGAGCCCAGTCCACCCCAAGAAGTCACCCACAAAACGGGGCCTGCTATAGTAAGGTCAAATGAGCAAGAATCGGGGACTAATCCTGAAAATTGTTAAGATGTTCGAAGAACTGACAAAATGAATAGAGTCGGGAGAAAGGAGGATCGAGGAAAATGACAAAAAAATGGAAACATATAACTCCATGGTTGATCAAATTCCGGGGGAACCACCGATATTGAAGGGCTTAGATTCCAAAAAATTCATACAAAAGCATTTCCCCCCGAGCGCGGCTCCTAAACCGATCCCAAAGAAGTTTCGCATGCCCGAGATTCCTAAATATAACGGAACGACCGACCCCAATGAGTATGTCACCTCTTACACATGTGCCATCAAAGGGAACGATCTAGAGGACGATGAGATCGAATCTGTATTGTTGAAAAAATTTGGTGAAACCATGTCAAAGGGAGCAATGATATGGTATCATAATTTACCGTCTAACTTTATTGATTCTTTTGCTATGCTTGCATATTCTTTCATAAAAGTACATGTCGGGGCCATAAAGGTCGAAACCAGGAAGTCGGACCTATTCAAGGTAAGACAAAAGGATAACGAGATGCTAAGAGAGTTCGTATCTCGTTTCCAAATGGAACGAATAGATCTACCACCAGTCACAGATGATTGGGATGTTCAAGCTTTCACTCAAGGTCTAAACAAACGAAGCTCGATGGCTTCACAGCGGCTGAAGCATAACTTGATCGAGTACCCAGCTATTACTTGGGCCGATGTACACAATCGGTATCAATCCAAAATAAGAGTCGAAAACGACCAGTTAGGTTCTAGGTCCGATACTAAAAGGGATATCGACCGAGAACCAATGGCGAACAAGGATCGATATCGCCCATATAACAGAGATTGTAGGGGCAACGAACCTTCACACAACCCCGTACGAGGTGAACAGGAATGGGTTCGACAGGTATACCGGACCCAGGGAAGCACCTCGATTATCGGAGTACAACTTCAGCATCGATGCATCCGCTATCGTGTCGGCTATCAGACGCATCAAAGATACTAAATGGCCTCGACCTATGCAGATCGATCCTGCCCAGAGGAATCCCAATCAAATGTGCAAATATCATGGCACTCATGGTCACAGAACGGAAGATTACAGGCAATTAAGAGAGGAGGTAGCCCGGTTATTCAATAAAGGGCATCTTCGAGAATTTTTAAGTGACAGGGCCAAAAATCATTTCAAAGACAGGGATTTCAACAGATGGAACGAACAAGAAGAGCCACAACACATCATCTACATGATCATCGGTGGGATCGATACCCCTCAGAGGCCAGTGCTTAAACGCACTAAGATGTCGGTTATAAGAGAAAAACGATCTCGAACTCAAGATTACGCACCAATAGGAACCATGTCCTTTAGTGATGAAGATGCAGAAGGAGTCATGCAACCTCACAACGATGCACTGGTAATTTTTATACTTATGAATAAAACTAAAGTTAAACGTGTGTTAATTGATCCAGGTAGCTCGGCCAACATTATTAGATCGAAGGTCGTAGAGCGACTCGACTTGCAGAACCAGGTTGTACCCGCAACCCTGGTTCTAAACGGATTCAATATGGCATGTGAAACTACCAAAGGCGAGATAATTCTGCCAATAAACGTGGTCGGAACCATTCAAGAAACGAAGTTTCACGTAATTGAAGGCGATATGAGGTATAACGCCCTTTTTGGAAGGCCGTGGATCCACAATATGAGAGTTGTACCTTCGACCCTCTACCAGGTTCTGAAATTCGCAAAATCGGAGGGAGTCAAAATAGTTTACGGAGAGCAACCGACCGCAAGAGAAATGATTGTCCTCGAAGAAGCAACTCCAATATCTTCACTATCATCGGCAAAGGGATCAGGTTCGAAGGAAGAACAGAATACCAAATAGCAATCACAAACGTCAGCTCAGACCCAATTAGAGAATCGGAAGAATGACGAAGATGATGAACAGGGGATCCTCGATCCTTCGTGGTCCCTGATGATTCCGACGCTACTCAATCTATGGTCTAATCGAATATCTGCCCAAATGAAAGGTATACCTGGGCACGGGGTTAGATCCCGAGCTCAGGAAAAATCTTATTCAATTTCTTATAGCTAACATAGACTGTTTCGCTTGGTCCCATCTTGACATGATAGGGATCCCACCGGGAATCACCACTCATAAGCTAAGCTTGGACCCAAGGTTCCACCTGGTAAAACAAAAAAGAAGGCCCTAGTCCGAGGTCAAACATGCCTTCGTCAAAGATAAGGTAACCAAACTTCTCAAAATAGGGTCCATTCGGGAAGTAAAGTACCCCGAATGGCTAGAAAATATGGCGGTAGTCCCCAAAAAGGGGAACAAGCTTAGAATGTGTATAGATTATGAAGACCTGAATAAATCATGCCTTAAGGATTCTTTTCCTTTTCCTAATATCGATCGTATGATCGATGCCACGGCCGGCCACGAGACTCTCAGCTTTCTCGATGCCTACTCCGGGTATAACCAAATACAGATGAACCCGGAGGATTAGGAAAAGACCTCGTTTATCACTAAGTATGAGACTTACTGTTATAACGTAATGCCATTCGGCCTAAAAAACGCTGGTGCAACCTATCAACGCCTAGTAAACAGAATGTTCGAAAAACAAATAGGAAAAATAATAGAGGTTTATATTGATGACATGTTAGTTAAATCACTGTGAATAGTGGACCATTTAAAGCATTTGCAGGAAACTTTCGACATACTAAGGGAGTACAATATGAAGCTCAATCCCAAAAAATGTGCTTTTGGGGTTGGCTCGGGCAAGTTTCTCGGCTTCATGGTGTCCAATTGAGGAATCGAGATTAACCCCGATAAAATCAAAGCAATCAGGGACATCACAGTGGTAAATAATGTAAAGGCCGTGCAAAGGCTAACGGGGCGGATAGATACCCTAGGACGATTCATTTCGAGATCCTCGGATAGGAGCCATCGATTTTTCTCTCTGCTTAAAAAGAAAAGCAATTTTGCATGGACTCCGGAATGTCATCAGGCTTTGGAAGAGCTAAAACGGTATTTATCGAGCCCTCCATTGCTTCATACCCCAAAGGCAGATGAACAGCTCTACCTGTATCTAACTGTTTCGGAGATAGCGGTAAGTGGAGTCCTAGTTCGAGAAGAACGAGGTACGCAATTCCCTATTTATTATATCAGTCGAACTTTAGGTAAGGCCGAAATTAGATATCCACACTTAGAAAAATTAGCACTTGCTTTAATAAGTGCCTCTAGGAAACTAAAATAATATTTCCAGTGCCATCTGATACATGTTGTGACAACTTATCCTCTATGAAATATTTTACACAAGCCTGATCTCTCAGGTCGATTGGCTAAATAGGCCATAGAGATCAGCGGGTACGACATCGAGTATCGACCTCGAACCGCTATCAAATCTCAGATCTTAGCGGACTTCGTGGCT